CCGGAGGAAAATGCAGCAAGGTCAAGTAGAGATATGTGAAACCCTGAGGTATTCAATTTCAGTATTTTTTGCTCTTTCTGATTATATTTTTTTCTTGTTACAGCCAAGGGATGGAAAAGCCAGCTTACATTTTGTTGTGTGGGTTTGTATTTTTTCTGCTCATCTCAGCTTTTGATTAAGAACCAGGTGACCTCATGCTTCAAATATGTCCTGTAGGATACTAAGATACTTATTTAGAATTTTTTTTGTTGTTGTTGTTAATTACAATTCAAAAGTGCAGGAATCGTTTTTTTAAATTAAAAATAGTTTCTGGAGTATTCCACTGTATCTGGCTCTTTTCAAAATGTGGCTATTTTCAACACTTTTGTTACTGTTTCTTAAATTTGTTGCTCTAACCAGCAGCAGCAGCAATGTATTCCTATTAACTTGGCTCTGTTCCTGCTGCTTTGTTCTACCACTGGAATATCTGCTACAGTCCCAGATAGTTGTTTTTATCTGTCAAAGTGCTGTTTACATTTTCACCTAAATTTGCTCTACTTCATTTCATATATTAGTTTTTATGATTTCCATCATCCAGGCACCCTTTTGCCAAGCTGACCTTTTAAGATTTATTGTATTGTAAAAATAGCACCTCACACCTCATAAACAATGTCCGTACCTCTGATTGTTAAAACAGTAATTCACAAATAGCACATGGAGAACCATCTATATAACTCTTGTTAAATTGTCTGTAGCAACTGAAGTGGAGATTCAACGCATGCCAGACTCTTGAACATGTCTCTTCATGGCCTAACTGTGGTGAAGATCTTAACACATGATGGTAAGTAATGGGAAAGGAAAGTTAGAGTGATTAAGCTTTTTATCACTGTATGTAGGCGTGTCTGTTAAGGCAGAAGTCAAGAGCTCAAACAGTGCAGAAGAAGTTATGGCTAGGATGGGTACAGATCGTGGAAAACTTAAACGTGAAAATGAGTTGGTAAAACACTCCCTAACAATTCTGGAAGTGTGAATCTGCCTTCTTAGCACCTCATGGCATCATAGGAGTCTCAGAAAAAGGGTTAATCTTTTCAAGTACTGCCACTGCCTTGGCAGCTTGTCTATGTTCAGAACAATGTGATGGTATGGCATAAAAGCCCAGTATTCTTTTTCTGAAGCAATGAAAGTATTTATCAACTGCCATGTCTGGTCAGATAAGATTTTGCAGACTCTGGAGTTTCAGGTGACCTGATTAGTTTAAAGCAAGGTTGTGTTCCACAGCTGAAATTGCAGGAAAAGACAGTTCACAGCTAAACCTCCTCCATTCTGAAAGGGAACCAACACAACAAGTGAGGGAAACCATGGTTCTGCTGAAACTAGTGGAAAAATTTGCATATATTTTGATGAATTTGAACATTCTGAGATGACTTTGGAAAATTTAGAGGCAAAGCATCACCAGAGTGTGCATTTCTACTCTGCAACATGACCACTGCTGTCCAAACTGTCGTCTTCAGCTGGGAAACCAAGAGGTGAGTCAGGTGAGTTTCATCAGCTTAGGAAAAGCAAGCTGTCCTTCTCAATTCTTCCATTGGCACTAAATTCACAGGAGCCCACAGGATGAGTTTTTGTTAAATATTAATAAATATTAACATTAAATATTATTTACAGGGAGGTGCAGAATAGACAAACTTATCATGCCTTTATGTAAACTTACTTGAAAGAATAGCAAGCTTATTTTTCAACATCTATTTAGATATTGATACTGGTAGAGTGTGAAAATTAGTGATCTTCCCTGGAGGTTTTCTTATGGTTTGTGCAGCATGTTTCCTGCTGAGGATTCTGTTCTGAGATTCTCCGCTACAAATTCAAATAAATTATGGAAAGAAGCAACAGGAATGGCGAGATATTCCATTGCCCCATTCTGCTTCTGTGAGATCAGCATACCTTAGCAGATGTGTATCTAAAACATGCACACGTAATGCATAATCCAAAGCATACTTCTGAATGTATGTACACTTGTTGGGAATTCTTTCATCTCCCTTGGTGATCTGCTCCAGGATTTAACAGCTCCTACAGCACATATGCTTTCCTAACCCAATCTCCTCTGCCTACAGATGAAGTTGATTCCATCTGGTTTTACACTGGTGGAAATGGAAAACTGTGAATTATTTTGCTCTGCAACAATCCTTGCTTACATATGAAGACTATCATCATGTTTCTGTGACACTGCTCTGTTCCACAATACGTAGAGATAATTTTTCCAATTTTTTCTAAGGCTTTGAGGAATTTTAAGAATATTGTTATTTTATTTTTCTCCTCTAAACTGTTTCTCATTTGTTTAGAGCATTAAGTGAAATGCCCAAAACAAAATATCTGTGCTACAGCAACAAATCCATTACATAAATTAAAGTGTATACAGGGAATGAAAAGCAGAATGACTTGCATTGAAAATGAAATTATTTCAAAATGCCGTTATTTATTGCTATCACAATTCTCACAAGGAGAAGGGAAATCTTTCACAAATGGATCCACTGCCAGAACTGCTTAATATATTTCTATCAGAAATGATTAATAAAATAGTTATCCTGTTTTTTCTTTGTCTTCTTACTGTTCCAGTCTGAATGAACCTTCCATGGCATCAGTTTGGATCAGCACTGTTATTTGGCTCCTGCTGAGGAAAAAGGACCAGCCTCATTGGCGACTCTTTAATCCTGATTTATTTTCTGCCCTAAGTGTCTTTCAGGTACTGTAGTTTTGCAAAGACAGACAGAAATGCAGCATCTCTCCATTTAATACCTGACTGTTTTCTAATAGTCTGCTGGGGGATCAGGTTCACATCTCTGGGCAGCTGGGGCTGACACGGCACTGGTAGAGCAAAGCAGCAAGGAAATTTAAACACAGTGTCCTCCCAAACAATAATTGCTGTTCAAGATGAGGGCAGATTCTCTCTGATTATTAGAATATGTATCTGGAGCACGAGATATGTCCTTCCTTTTCTGGGCTAACACTTATTCTGCCTGCCAAGAAGGACATTTAGCTTGAGGTTATTGATAGCAAGAAGGAAATTTTCATTTCCCTTCATGTAAAGAGATTCTGTTGTAAAACTGAGACTTTGAAATATGCAAAGGAGGTTTATGTGCAGTGGGACAGAAGAATTCTCCAGCTGTAGAATTGGCTGCAGTTATGAAATAGGAAGTGCTTGTTTTAAAGTGTGTGAGACACTGTGCTGGCCTGCAGCATAAATTATGCATCTTCCCCTTCCTGCAGGCCTGCTCTGTGTGTTCATGACTGAACACACAGTCCTTGGCCACAGTGGAAAGAAACTGTCTGGATAACAAAGGAAATGGAAGATTTGCTACTAAGCAGAACCGCCATCTCTCACTGAGCCAGTTGTCCTGAGTGACATCGGAGTGTGCTGTTAGGATCGATGTGGTGACATTCAAGAGGAAGGAGCACTATCAAAAAAAAACCAGTTCTCAATTACTGAAAACCCATCCCAAGTAATTATCACCCCAGTAGATGAAGGGCAAAAAGAAAAAAGCAAGTATTTTCAGGGAAATGAAGATAAGTCCACCTCTGGAAAAGATTTCTTTACCGCTGTTTCGTTCCAAACAGAATGAATCTTTTTGACATTGTGTTCAGATTTACTCACTCTGTGCTTCTCTTCCTCCTGTATATTTACACCATTGATTCTAAGTAAGGTTTAAAAGCTCGTTTAAATTCCAGCTTCATGTATGATTCTCACTAATACCATGCAAAAATGCACTCAGGCTCAGACCCAATGCCCTGAGACTCAGGGCACTCTGAAGGATGCTTTTGAGTGGGCCGCATATCAGACTGGGCTGGGGCTTTTGCACTGAGGGGTGCAAGGAAAAGCTCACCGCTGAATTTGACACAGCTACTGAGAGCAAATTTGACCCAGAAGAAAAGTAACTCCAGCACAGACCTTGTGTCAAGGAGCAGCTGGCAACATGGCTGGAGTGACTGCAGACAGAGCATGGAAATTCCCTCTGCCCTCATTGGTAATGTACAAGTGTCTTTGTGCTCTCTGATGTGCAAAATGCAAACACATGATTTTCCCTTTGCTTTCTATCACCAACCATGCAGAATATTGGAAGCAATCTTCTCCTCAAATGAGTATTATTTCCTGTACCATCTTTGCAAATAAGTACATGGCAGACAAATAAAGAGCACAATACAGAAATTAGAGTTTGACATTACTTGAAATGACAGTGAATGTTAGCTAGAGGTGTAACTTTTCAATCTACTAACTTGGTAATCGATGTGAGTTGTAAATGTAACTTTTACATAAACATAGAGAGCAAATGCATGGAGCACTTTTGGTAAAGAGAAGATCGTGCTGGGTGAGTTGGTGAGCTCTGACTGAATGGAAATCCTCAAAACTCAGAAAAGCAAGAAAAAGACAAAGCATTTCCCAGATTATGGCTACAGAGCTGTATGCTCTTCATCACGTGCTCTGGAAGGCAGTCTGGGAAGTGTTGCATTACTTCAACTGCTCTGGGAGATATATGCTATGTTTGCTACCTCCAAGAGCAAACCATAAAGTATATCAAATAGAGAAGAGTCATTAAAAGGCACTGACACTAGTTTAGTTTAGGTTAGGGAGTAGTCAAGCCATGGCAGTGAAACAGAACATATTGCTATAAAAGATGAGGCTCTCGGGCTGCATCAGGGCTGCAGACCTTTTCTACGTCTTTGTAAGAAAAGCAGACTAACGCAAAATGCCGCCTGGCCCTCATAAAACTGTTCTCCATTTCTGAGTGCTTTATTTATGGGCGATGCAGTGCAGTGACATTTTAACTGCTTTTTCTTTGAATGGTAATAATGATCTAATGATTATTTAAGCAATTTTATCAAACGGTCCTCTATTTAGGAAACTGAAATATGTGAAAAGTGTTGCCATGTAAATGTCAGTGAAAGTAATTAAGTGGAGAGACATGTAAGAATATATCACTTGTTCTCTTTTTTCCCCTCTCCTCATAAGATGTTAAAAAGTAAGTATAACTATGCCCTAGGAAATATTATGGAATAGAAATATAGCACGATTTAACAAGTGTTTTTCATCTCCTCAACTGCATTTGCCACATGGTATTTCTATAAAAACTCAGAATGTAGAATAAATGATCTGTAAAGTGGAGTCCCTACATGTAATTTAATGGTAAACAGTCATTTTTGAGTGTAAACTTCTACTTCCATTACAGCAGAAAATAGTTAATCAGGAGACTAGTAGCCGGAAAGTTCCTGACCGTTTCCTAATAAAAAGTTTCTAGCTGCTAAACATGTTGTCAAATTACTTTGTGAGCCTCTGTTAATGGAAAATCTTTAGTACAGATGAGGTGATATGCTTAAAACAGTGTTTTAGCGAGATTTATCAGATGTCCTTCAGTCTTCATGTCACAGAAGTGCTGAAGTAATGGTTGATGTAGCTGATATCTGAGAATGAATGTTTTAAGCCAGTTGACTTTTTGAGGTTTCTTACAGCTGGCTGGGGCTCTCTTCCATGATGCCAGGATTCTATGATCTTTTCAAAACAAAACAAAACAAAACAAAAAAAAAAACAAACAGTCAAATTAGGGCAAATTGAGACAAACAGATGACAAGCAGGACTCTCTAGAAATTCCTGATATTCCTGACACTTTTTTTTCAGCTTGGATGTCACTGAGAATTTCTCTTTCTTTCCTTGTATATTCATATTAATTCCAGTATTGTAGTGTTGATGTATCTGTATGCTGATTTGTCTTTGTATACAGCATATTCTCTTCTGGATGAATTATTTCACTGGTTAATTTTCACTAGCACAGCAGCATATATTTCATTAGATGTTTTTCCATCCTTCAGAGACAGATATTTCTGAAGAAACATTTATCACTGATTACTGCAGAAAATATTCTTGATTTGTGAGCTGTATTCCATTTACCTTTCCTATAATTTCTTTGCTTATTCTTCTTGTTTTCTTTGTAAAAGTCCAATGCAAAATCTCCTAATGTAGTCCGTCACTTATAGACAATTATTTATTAGTCACAGTTCTTTTCCAGCTATTAAATATGCTGCATTATTTTATGAGTATTTCTATTAATTGAGATTATCCTGTAACTTGCTTTTAATTTGAATAAATCGTGAAAAAAAAAAGCCCTTACTACTTATTTGAATAAATATTTTACTAAACAGAAGGAAACTCAGAAATCATCTGTTGTAGGTTGTGTTTTCTGCTGTGAACTGCAGCGTGTATATTGTTGATACACGTATGTTTATATATGTAGGTATATATACACACATCCATATAACCAGAACAGCTTTCTGCATTAGGAGTTGAAGGCTGGTGCTTCTGTAGCTGTTCATTGTAATTAATTTTGTCATACTGTTACTCTACTTTGGTGCTGAGATATTTGCATGACCTGAAAGGGAAACAGACTTTATATACCATCATTGCAGCTTACGTGCTACAACCTCCTTGCTAAGTGTGAAGTAGAGGGTACGAGTTGGTTGTTCACTGTCCCGTGAGAAACAGAGGGGCTGGGGGTTGGTTGGATTGGTTCAGCACACCATGCACACAGGTTGGAGTTCACTGAAACAAAATCATTTTTGTTATGTTTCAAGTTTAACATTCCATCTGATTTTTTTTGCAGCGTGGTGTACATCTTAGCTGCCCTCTTCTCTAAAGTCTCTTCCTGTCACCAGTGTACCTTTGTATCTGGAAAGATGACATCTGTTAATTGGCGTGTGTTAAATATTTAGGTTTCTCCAGGGTCACTGTGCTGGGTTTCTTGACAAAGGGCTTGATAAAAAAGAGCTGCTGAGAAACCACAGCTCCTTACCAGCAGATATGACTTGCCTGGTAGTGACCAAACTCAATTGTTATTTTCAGGATATTAAGAAGCATAAAATTTTTTACAGTTAACCAGCAGACAAACAAACTCTGAAAATAACATGGTGAAACAACAATTTAAAAAGCTGACCGCTGCCTAGATAACTTGAGAGTCAGTAAGAGATAAAAGATCTTTGGAAAGAAAATCCTTATGACAGACAATCAAAGGAACTCCCATGGCCTTCATCTTACAGCTGTTGCCACTGCACATTCTGGTCCCATACTTCCAGGATAGGACTATTTTGGACAAATTGGAGAAAAAATATTTTATCACTCCTCTGGTCTACAGCAAACCTCAGATCATTAGGCAGCACCTCTTGGTCATCTCACTCCTTTTGGATAGGTACCCCTGACCTCTTCCTATGCTTTGAACCCTCCATAGTCAAAGGTTTCTAGAAGAGAACGTGTCAAGTCAGTATCTACTCTAAGCCCAGTGACTTGTTCCAATCACTGGCTGTTCTATCCAACTGAATATGTCATTGCTTAAGAACATGTTGGTCCTCAGTGTAGAAGAACCTAGTAGAAGTACATAATGGAGCAGTCCACTGATAAACGTAGAATTTCTTTGAAGATCTGTATTTCATGAGAAAAAAGATGGGTCCATCTGTTTTCATGAGGACAGCAAAAAAGAAACAGTACTAGTCGTAATATTCTGGTCATTCATGTCCCTGGCCAACTACAAAAGGAGCAGCAGCCATGCATGTTATGGACATATTTTGTATAATACTTGTTTTCATTATTTAGACAATTCAATCATACATAAACATTGTCAGTCTCTTGCTTATAAGTTAACCCAGACTACATATTCAGGCAACTTTTCTGTCTTCCTAGCAAAGCTGAGCCAGTAGACTGAAATGGAAAGACAGAATCATGAACCAATGCTCCTTATTGATGAATAACCTCTCAAAGGACCTTGGGACATGGTGACAATCGACCACCTAGTCAGCTGTGTTTAGAATGAAAAATGAGCAGTAGTGGGAACTGGAGCCCCTGTAACTTCTAAGATAGTGATCTCCATCTTATTTTATTTATTAGCCTTTAGCCTTGAAAAATGAAATGATAAAATTCCCTTGTAGAGAGTGAGAAAAGGCAATTCTACCTGTCTCTAGTTGGCTCTTTGAAAGCAATTGCTCAGAAGGTGATTCTCATCCCAGTCTGTAATTTAGATTAAGGTATGGGTGTCCAACTTTTTGACTTGTCTGGGCTGCACTGAATGAAGAGGAATTCTCTAGGGGATGCATCCATGAAGATTGCTCTGAAAGTAATCCCTCCTAATTATTTCAATGGAAACTACAACTGATACAAATATCACAATAACACTATATTTAATATTGCAAATTCTCAGCTACCAAACAGTTTTTTTCAGCACAGTCACCACTGCTAGCTATGCATTTTCACCAGTGATGAACAAGAGCCAGCATGGTGTGCTTGTAACAATCTGCTTGAGTAGAGGTGACCTAAGGCAGCTCTTATCACTGCTGAAACGCACCACCCACCACCTCACTGTGCTCACATCCACTCTTTAGTCTCCATAAATGTTCAGCAAGTATCGATGAACGTCACTGTGTGCAACGTTTTCTGCATGGAGGAATTCATTACCATATCTCTGCTTCAGATGCATTTCCATGACCATTGCCCTTGTATTGCCATCTGTCACATGGCCACAAAGTGTAATGCAATATTAGTGGGAAGGTTCAACCTCTAACTCTGTACCACCAGCATCCGCCTCTGAAGTAGTGGATCAACATCATAAAACAGGAAGCATTATTTTCATAGCAGCTCATAAAATATAGTTAATAATATAAAAGTAACAAAACTTATTTTACTTTTACATACACATAAGCCCTTACCAACAATACACCAAACATTTTCAAATGGGCAATTAAACAAAACTTGGAGGAAATGAGCTTCTTATATATATAGGTCAGTGCTACACTGCCACAGACACTAAATGGCACACTTCATTTCTGCTGTCAAAAACCTCAAACATAAAAGCAGTGAGATGAGCAGACAAATAAAATCAATTTAGTTCAGCAGTGTAAGTGTGTGGGTTGCATTTCTTACCAAGCTTAAAAACAGACAGCTAAATGACTGCTGTGTGTGAAATGGCTTGGTTTGTTTCATGTGTATTCAGTATTGTGTTAGCAATATATCCCTTACGAGGAGCAACAGAGGAAATAACTCTCACATTTGTTGAATTGTGGTAGGAACATGATAGCGCATTTATTGCTAGCAAAAAGTTCTAGATGTCACTCTGAAACTCTCTGATTCTTTTTCCATTTTGGGCTCCCCTGAGGTGACATTTTCAAACATCTTTGACCTCGAGTCATGTCAATTATGCAAGTGGCTATTTGCTTATGTAAACTGTGCACTAGCATACACAAGTATGTATTATAGCTATGAGCTGACTGCCTGCTTAAAAATTCCAGCTTGAGTGAAATACGCACTGAATTTTTCTGCCCAGAGAGCCCTTCACACATTTCTTTAGTACTGTTGTTAGCATCATATCACAATCACAAAGAAGTAGAAAACATAATGAATAGAAGACAATATTTTTAACACTACATCACAGCACCAGGACGTAATTAACACACTAACACTTAACCTTGTGAAGTGTTGTATGCCCTCCCTTCATTCTGTTGAATAATGTAGTGCTTCTAAAATAAAATAAAATTTCAGGATCAGTTAAGAGAGGGTTGTATGGAACTATACCATTGCAGTCTGGGACTTGATCCAAAGTCCATTTAAATCTCATGAGAAGCAAGTGATGACTGGTCAAACTGCATTTCAGAGACATGCTTCATCTGTATGGGATTCTTAACTGAATATAAATGTTTTGCCAGAGAAGCAGGCAAAAGAGTGATTTGCTTAGTCAAGGTCTTTGAAAAAAAAAAATAAGACTATCCTGTCAGCACAGAATGGTAAATGTTATACGTGGTTTGGTTTCTAACGTACTTCCTTGTAACTTAAACTAGTTCAATGCCAATTCACTGAGATGTGGATTAATATTAAACAGCTCTGTATCAAGCCAGCAGCAATTCAGCTGGCACTGCATGGACCTGTCATCTTCAGATATCACTGGTGGCCCTGCAGACTGGAATGTTTCATTTGGACTTTTATTTATGAGGATGCATCAGTTTGACATATTGAATGAGATTAATAATCCAAATGTTTTCCTCAGGCATCTAATTAAATAATTTTGAAAAATTAATTATACTTTTTCTTCCTTTAATGTTTGAACTCACAGTAATCTTATTAATGCTGAGATACGATACAATCATAAAACTAAGCTTTGTTTGAAACTCACTGGACAAACTTTGAGGCTCTTGAAGAAGTAATTAGATTACCTGCTCTACAAATGGTGCATGCATGCCAAGTGAAATGAGAGACTGCAAGACACTGGACAAATACAGGCTTTGTGTAAAAACTGTCTGAGCAGGCAGATTTGGATTTATCTGAATGGATTTATTTACTGTGACGATTTATGCCTTGACTCACTGAAGTACTTAGCAGATGAGACATTTGATAGATTTGTTTAGGAATAGCCATGCACTAATGTCCATAGACAGACCTCTGCTGAGAAAAAGTTCCCGAGCTTGTTGCTTTTTGATGGAAACTTTCATCAAGCAAACATGCATGGGAACTCTGTGCATAATGAATGATTAGCAGGCAAGAAGAATGGGCCTTGAATACTGTGAGTGGTTCTTAACGAATAATTGATATTAAGGAAATTTATCATGACATTGTTCAAGAATAATCCTTACTAAATCCTTTGAAACCAGGCTGTCATGGCCCTGAGGGCATCCTCACGCTGATGGTTGGGCTGCTGCAGCCTGGTCTGCGGACAGCCCTGATAACTGATGGTCTGATAACTGATGGTCTGATAACTGATGGTCTGATAACTGATGGTCTGATAACTGATGGTCTGATAACAGAGCCCATTCCTGTCCCATCCTCAGGTAAGTGCTTGATGCTTGGGCTGAGCTGCCCTCGGTGCCCCACAGCTGCCCTGCAGGCCGCCTCACAGCCCAGAGCCCCGCCATAGGAAGCTGCCATTCTGCAGCGCCCAGCACGGAGCCTGCAGGAGCAGGTGGGAGCAGTATTTTTCGGTGAGGTTCTTCAAGTTTAAGGATCTTTCTTAAGAATTAGACATAAATAAGACTGTTCAGATTGACAGAGATATTCTAGACCATCGCATTTTATCTACAAAATCTGCGCAATCAGATTTGTTTCTCAAATACCCACTGCAAAATCCCACAGAAATGGAAGTGGCTTGGAAAGTCAAGTAACCAAAGGAGAAATTAAATCTGCCATTTGCTTTGAGGACTTTCTGTCACACCGGCAAAGGCAGAATAAAGTCATCCAGCGTGGAGAAATCAGAACTCCGCTTCATGTATAGCGACAAATAATTTACCTTTTAGATGAACTTGATAATGATTTCTGCTGCAAGAGGGCACCAAGCTGCCTTGCGGGCATGGCGACACAGGCGTGGAATCCTTCGCAGGTGCAGAACAAAGGACTCCATTGCGCGCGCTCAGAGCCTTTTATAGCCGCGCAACTCAGCGGTTTTCCCGCGCAGCCAAGAGTGTTACACGCAGGGCCGGGCGCCTTGTGGGTGTTTACGTCCGGCCCAAGTTATTGTTGAGCTTTACCGCTCATTAGCAATACAACAGCCTTCTTATCCCACAGATTTCCATGAAAGGGGTGTGATACAATGTTAGATCCTTCAGGAAGGGCAGGGCACGGAAAATGCACTGGCTGTGAGAGGTGCTGGCCTAAATGCCATGCATATTACTTTTAAGAAGCATATGAACTCATTACTGTACATCATTGGTGTTAATAAAAGTTTTATCCTGATTTCAGTCTTCCTCATAAGAAGCCGTTACAAGCTGGTGAAGACACAGTAGAAATAGAGCAGTGCAGCTGCTCACAATGCAGAGCAGACAACTTCTTCCCTCTCAAATTTGGGTAAATGTTTGACAAGCAAGGAATGCACTGAGTTAAAGATCTGAATTATAATGAAACATGTAAAACAGGTTGGGGAATGTGCAGAAGAAGCTTTTTTCTTAAGGCTGGCAGGAAGACAAGATCTGTGCATGTACAGCATCGTGAATATGGCCTGGAGAATACTCTAGAGAAAAATAAACCATTATCTCCTTAAAATGTGGGTTTTGTAAGAAATATTTACTGTAAAAACACAGAAGATGGAATAGAATGTTTTATTTCAAAGAATCTGTAGTCATTTCAGTATATGGTGTTAAAATCCTGTCTTGTTAATGGTCAGATTGGCCTAGATGTGATGGCAAAATAAAGAGCAAAAATTTAAAGACAAGTGAAAAAAGGATGGAAGTGCCCCCAAATAAAATTCTACGAACAGCTAAACCAACTGTATAGAAATTAACATTTGTATTCTCTCTCACTTCAGTGCTACTGCAGAAAAATGTGATTTCCATCCTTCCAGGTTTCTTTTTCATAAGTTCTGAAATTATGAAGAATCATAATTTTATGCATATACCAATTATGAAAAAGCCAAATTCAGAATAGCTAAATGAATTGCATATTGAAATGACTATCAAATCAGTATTAGATATAGGGGAAAGAAAAAAAAATGAGCAAGGGAAGAATCTGTAACATGGAAGAAAGGGCAAAAAGTCTTCATAGAAACAGAATGGAAAGAGTAACTTTTCAGTATGAAAGCAAACTTGGGGAGGACTTGGCAAGATGGATAGCAAAAATCTTGCTTAAAGAGATGTCTCCTTACTCACATCATTGCAGTTCAGTGGCTCTGAAGGATACCCCAAAACTTGGAAAAGAAAGAATGCAACATGAGCTATAATATTTTGAAAGCTGAACATGATAGGCTAAGATGGAGAAACCTTGACTGAGGCTCTCAGATCTTCCTGAAGATAAGACGGATATTAGCCTTGTATTATTACCTATTGCTAATAATCAAATATTTGCAAAGAGGAAAGTAGCAGTGCTTCTTTTAGGCTTTAAGTACCTAAGCATTTATCTGCATCCAGCAAATTCCTTCATTAGATTATTTTTACTCATCTAATTTAATTTATTTTAATTCCATGATGTTATTCAATTTTCTTTTTTTTTTTTTTTTTCATTTAATAAGAATTTTAGACATGCATTATAAGCTAGCAAGGAATTGCTTTTAACTGAAATTCCTCTCACTGCCTCTCAACCACTTCTGATACTGACAGTGAAAAGAATGCATGGCTCATATTTAAGCATTTTTTTCTGTATGTTTTTATTTCTTTAGAGAAAAAACATTTCTATTGAACAAAGAAGCATTCTGTGACGAGCTTTTCAAATACAGCCATACCACAAATCTGTAGCCAAGGTAACTCTCAGGTATGGAGTTTCATTTTTTTTCCATTTCCCTAGGAATTAAATTAGGCTAATTAAGGGCTGCACTGATTTTCCTTGAGTGTAATTGTAGTATTTCCTAAGACAGGGTAAGATCATGCAGGAAAAAAGTGAGAAGCTTATCTTGGGATAAATGTGAGGAGAAATGGATATTTTGTTTCTTTATGTTCTCCTTTCCACTGATTACAAATTACTTTTCAATCAACTCAAAATATGCCTGTATTGCCATATGTGGAAAAGAGCGACTAAAAATTACAGTGAAGAAGGATCAGATTCGTATCCAACAATTATTTTTTTCTCTAATATGGAATCATAGAATCACCAAGGTTGGAAAAGACCTAAAAGATCACCCAGTCCAACCGTTCACCTATTCCCAATAGCTCCTACTAAACCATGTAAAATATTTCATGTAAAATCATAGGACTTCTGTGATAGGAATCTTTCCCAGCAGAGCATTCTGAAAAGAAGAAATTGAATACATTACGGATGGGATTCAGAAATTTCTTATGTATTCTTTTATGAGCTTCATTTTCTTTGTAGGCAGTTTTATTCAGGAAGTTATTTTTGTCAGCTATGCCTGACAAAAGAATGCAGATGATGGATAAAACCCCAGCAGTACATATACGTGGCTGTTGCCTTATGTATAAGAATTATTTATAGCCTCTCAGAAAGGGCCCTTATATAGTTTCCTGGAAATGTTGGCTTGGTGCTCAAAGATGATCAAAAATCAAAGACAATATTAAGTAAGGATCTGTAATTGAAGTCCACTTGTATGCATTTTTTAACAAACAGCGTATTTGTAGAAATCAATGGAGCAGCTGTGTGTAGCAAAGAGAGAAGATAGATAGAAGATAAAAACAGAAGAAAAATACAGTCAGAGGGGCAGAATATCTTTCCCATTGGGACAGATGAAATAGCCTGGCACATTCTGGTTTAGGAGATGTCTGTGGAGAGTTACTGCAGAATCGATTCACAAGTTGAGCAACAGGGGGAACATTATTCACGATTTCTCATAATAACAAACTTGGGGGATACTGAATTAAATTACTAGGTTACAATAAGTAAATTATGAGGTTAAAATAAAATAAAACAAAATAAAAATTTCAGATATATAAAGAAATTTAGAACTCTGAGGATGCTGTGGAGATCAAAAGGGAATAATTTGGCTGACTCCAATTCATAGACAACAAATGTACCAATTAACGTTAAGTTATGGCTCAGGAGATTCCCAGGCTATGAATGGCTGCAAACTGGGAGAATACAAGCAAGAGAGAGTCATTTTATCTACAGTTTTTTTCCTGCTACTTTTCCTTCTGCATCCACCAAAAAATCCTGCCAGAAACAGATTAATCAGCCAGGCTTATATCTGGATTGAGAGAGTATGGCATTTATGTTCTTATTCTCAGAGAAGTTATTTCCAAATGAACACAGGCTAAAGCTGAGGAGATGAAAATCCTTGGGCCTGACATGAACAGGTATGGCTGCAGCTACTTCTGAACACTGTGCTCCAGGATATTGGGAGGCATAGTTTACACTGCACGTACATAACACCTTTATGAATAAATTAAATGTACCTGTAAAAACAAAGCTCTGATGAGATGTGAATCAGGCAGTGCCACCTTGACAAGAACAAAGAAACAAATTCTTAAAAGGACAGGAAAAAAAATTCTCAACTCTGTCCACACTTTTATGTCAGCAGTAAATTGAATTTATGGGTGGATTTTGTCATAGCCTATACTTACAATCAGTTTGCTGTTTGCTGCAATTGCAGGGGCAAAACATCTCTGTAAGAACATAAAGATAATGGCATGGTTAAATTTAGTTGACTATTTTAATCTTAAAATTCAGCCTCTAAACACACGCAATTGATAGCATGTGTATGAGTCATGGAAATTTACTTTTTATGAAGAAAATTACTAATGTTTGGTTCTGACTTTTCTCATTACTTTTTATAGCTCCAGTTTCCTTCCAGGATGCAGTCAGTGTAGTTATTATTGATCCATAACATTTATAGGAATTTAAATGTACTTCAGATGCTGGGTAGCCGGGCTCCTGCTATTTCAAAGTGCTTGTGACTTTTCAAGCTCTTCTACTTTCTTTCTTGTTCTTTATGAATTGGTCATTATTGACCAGATATTTAATGATGAACTCCTGCTTTCCCTAGGCTGTAGGCACTGCTATCATGAACAGCTTGTCAAGTCTTCTGCACTGTACTTCCAGTGCAGCACGACTGGGAAGGTCAGCTGTGAGCAATAGAAAAAATGTACCACGTCCAGAAAGGTGAAGGAGGTTCATACTATCTGACGTTGGGCTGTCCTGAAGCCATCCAGCAGAACATTTGAAAGTGCTTCCATATGAAAAAAAGCCCTGTAAAACTGCCAGGAGGGCTGGTAGATAAATCGAATGGCTTACGGATGGAAATGAACCTGCTGCAGCCAATAGGACTCAACCCGATGAGAGCATACAGACATACAGGTTATACAGAAATATGGTTGAACAACTGAATTAAATCAGTTGCCCAGTAGGCTTTCTTTCGTATGTCTGGAGAGCAGCAGGGGTAGTAATTGTATACATGGAAGGAAAAGCAGCAGCTACAAGAGTAGTATTACATAAACAAGATGATAAGCTTTAAAACACTTAAAAATATTCTATTTTATTTTAGTAAAAGAGAATGAAAGAGAGTACTAAACAGATAATACTAGGAAATCAAACATGAATTTGCTGCAGTAAACTTTGTTTGCAGTAATAAATACTGCATGTTGAATCCTACAAGTACTGCCAATATTCTCTACCATTTACTCATCAGTGGAACAGGGCATGGATTGAATCAAGTCCTAAACACCATGTGTTAGGGAAAGGGATATTGGTCAAATCAAGTAGCTTTGTTCCAGTTTCACCAGTTGTGACTTTGTCTTTAGATCTTTTTATAGACTCACAGGGAGAGAAGAGCTTTGGGTCTGGCAAAAAATAATTGCTTTTAAAATTATTCACATCATGATTCATGAGGTTTTAATAGTGCTTATTCAGAGGGACATGACAGAGGAGGAAAGCAGAAATATGTGAGTAAAATGACAAAATAGGCAATATCACACAACTTCCTGGAGAAAATTCTCCTTTTTGGAAAAGGAAGTGTAAGGTGTTCCTCTTCAGGAGCACCAAACACAAAAGCAAGGTTCTGTAGCAGATAAATGAATGCAACAAGGTATTCCAGCTTGAGTGGGCAAAGGAGGAGAGCAATTGCTGCAGTGTTCTGTCCTCACAGAGGGACATAAGCAAGGGAAGGCAGGAAGCAGGTTTGAACAGAAAGAGCAAGAAAAACTTCATATTAACATAACAGGTTTTATTCCACATCTGTTGAATGTGGGATGAAGGGAGCACAGGAATGTTTTTATTATCAAACAACACCTACTTAAATGTAGATGTAAAGCTAGAAATTCGAGTGGGTCTCAGATTAAGCTCCTTTGTAGGACTGAGGCACAAATCCCTTGCTGGTACCATACCATCACCTGTATGGCTCTAGCAAGTACAACAGAGAAGTAGTT